TGCAGCTGCACGCCTGTTAGCTGAGCGCGGCGAGCTAAAAAGCATCTGTAAATGATTTGTCAGTGAGATGTGTGCGGACACAAAATGTGGAGCCGGAGAGAAAAAGCCTCCAAAACAAACGAGTGCAGAAGTTAACCTCCATTAGACACGCACTGCTACCTCTAACTGCACACGGGGGGGGGGGGGGGGGGGGGGGGGGGGGGGGGCAGAGGCAGGACTTCAGGTAACACAGAGACAAGTTAATCCAATTAGAACAACCCACGTTTAACAACAAAGCGGCTCTAAACGTGTTCAGCAGCCGCAGGAGAAACAGAGCTAGCTGGTTTTACACGGCAGCCATTAAGAGATAAACACCACCACAGGAGCCATCAAAACCCACAGAATCCCCCAATTACAACGAATTAAGATTATTTTTAAATGGCTAAAAAAGGTCAAACAAAATCTGTATTTAATTTGAATTAGTCTATCATATTTGGCCTGGAAGAACATGATCAAAGTACTAGAAGTACTATCTAGATGAATTTGAATGGATTTATCCTGCACAACAGCAGATACTATCCACCCAGAAAATTCAAATGGATTTTTTTTCAAACTAATTATTTGTTTCACATGAAAAAAAAACATCCTGTGCCCTCCAACTGTTGGAGGCACCCTTTTAAAAAAAGCTGACTGATATCTGACTTACTGCGGTTTGCTGGATTCATCATCCTACACACTTCATTAGCGTCCATGTTGACCACTTCTGACAAAATACAAGCAGGGGATGCACACGCCTGATGTCCTGCATCAGAAGAAGGACAGTCAGATTTGAGGTTATGAATAGGGACGGTCTCAAAAGCTCACTAGTCTGAGAAACATTGATAGATACATTGGAGGGGAATAAGGATGCTCAAAGTGGTAAAAATTAATTGTAAGCTTCTAAAATGAATGTAATGGGTGAGGCAAAGGACTGGAAGAGTCAACACTAGAGCAGAAAGAGTTAAATAAAGCAAATGATAAATGTAAATGTCTACCAGGCCACAGAGTGCATCAATCCTCTCAAACTCTACACACAAAAAATGTACGGATGAATTGAATTTTTCCATAATCCATTTAAATCTCTTTTTTTTCTTCTTCTTTTTTACACATGACCTGTTTAAATCTAAGATTAGACGTGGAGTGCTATGATTGAAAATAATCCAACCATCACCAGAGCTGAGACTCAGCTGGAGGAGCCAGTTGTCCAGTTGTCCAGTTGTCCAGTTGTTCCAGCGAACCTGCCAGGGCCTTCTCAGAGGACTCTGACCAGCTGCACCTTCACGGCCGTCACTGCTGTTGCTGACGCGTCTCACTTGTTAAAAACGCACAGATTAATCATTCGATACAGGAACAACTCTATATGAACACAAATGCCTGTGAACAGATGTGCCCAGATGGAGGATTTTGAGTAAAAAACAGGTTAATTTCTTATACGAGGCTCACGATCGATGTGTTTCCTCAAAATACGTCTTGAATTAATGTTTCACACATAATCAAAAGGAGCCGTGAAAATTCACTGGCCATGTGAAAAGCCATGGAAGCATGTGGGAGTTTATCGCGTTTGAGTTGGAGCGGGTAGGTTTGTCATGTGTTCAGGGAGCTCACATAATTCCTGAAACACATCGGATGTGTTTCCCACATGGCGTGAAAATAAAAATACAAACTCTACGCTCCTGAAGCACAGCGGGACTTCCATAAGGACAGAACAAATGGAGATCTAAACAGTGTGTCTGTACAAAAGCTGTGTAAGCTGTGGACTCTTTGATGACAGGACCACAAGTAAATTAGGACTAAACTAAGAAGTGGTCAGAGGAGAGCCACAGGATTCTGCCGGCTGGACAAAGCTCTCCCTGTTAAAGCAGTGTAATTGGACAGTTCAATTCAATTCAATTTCATTAATATAAAATAATAAATAGATACAGTATCCATGTGTAAAAAAAAAGGTGCATTTTGGAAGAATAAAGGTGATCAAACTCCCACAAAATGACACTCATTTACACAAATTACAGTTATAGATTTGATCCTTTTTTTTAAATTTAGTTTTAAATATCTACATGTGTGTCAATGATTCTGAGAAACTGAAAGCCACAGATAAAAAAAACTCCAAACGCGAGCCATCGCTGCAAAAAGATTTTATTTGGACTTCTTTTAGAATTTGTCAAAAACACACTCAATAAACAAGCAGACCGGGTTTGATTGAATCTATTTGAGATTCATCTGAAACATTGACTTCATAAATACAGATTTTTGCCCATGTGCTTACATGTGTTTTCTGAGCATATATACAGTAAAACCATAAATAATGTTAAGAACTGGAGCAAGCTTCAGGCTTTAACAAACCAAATAAAAAGAAAACCCAAACTTGTATAAATATAGGTCAATTTTTATTGAAATTCAAGAAAAACCCATCTGTAAATCCTGTTGTACAAACATGTCCGTGGAGCACAACATTTCTGCTGTTTCAGGGATCCATACGGGGGATGATGCTCTAAATCTGTCTGACCTGGCATCCCAACAAATTGCATATAGCCACAAGGGTCAGACTTAAGAATGGAAAACATATTTCATGTCTGCATATGTCATCTCTGTCCTGGATCTTACTCCAATGCTAGCTGATCTGAAAAATGATCCTCACCCTTTTAAATATGTCATCAATCCATTTCGTATCAGCGGGTCTCAGTGGACAGTTGTTATAGACCTTGACCATCCCCTCCAGGTGCCAAACGGTGAGGGTGTCTGAGGAGAATATCTTTGCATATCGATCTGTTTATGATGTTTAATGTGACATTCCTGTTGGGATCAGCTGTGAACGTGTTGAATCTTCATCTTTTATAGTGCAAAAAGTTACAGAGCTAAAATAAAAAAACCAAACATAAACAAACAGCTGGACAGTGTGGACCAAACAGAAAAAAGTACAGCAAAAAACTCCACGCTTGTTTAACGTATGCATTGGTTTATTCTTCCATCACACTGGTTGATTCTGATCCGAGCACTTTTCTGTTTTCCTCCACTTGTGAAACTCTATAAAACTTTACCATCTCGTTAAGTCTAATTTAGTGTTAGATACAAATACGTATTGACTAGAGTTAGAGAACACTGATTAGGGTGTAAAAGTGTGTATGCCTGGTGTGCAGCTTCAGCAGCTCTGTTGTTGGGACATTTCTACTGATAACAGCATGGAGAGTCCTGATTGGATAATCCCATTCAGGAACAACCTGGGACAGATTTTTGGCTAAACATCGCCTTTCACCTGGTCATTTTTTCTATTTCTAAGCTATTTCTAACAACACATCAACCCTTTTAAAATGAAGCTGTCATGATTGCACACTGTAGCTTGGTTTTCATTTCTTATTTGAAAGATAAGTAAAAATGTGAGTGTTTTTATTCAAAGTTTTTTTAAGCTCAAATCAAAGCCGAACTCTCGTGGTAAAAGCAATGATCTTTGGTGTGTGTATATTCTTTTTATGATCATCCGGGTGTTAGTAGGAACCGACCTCAGCCCGTTTTTTAGCCCTGGCTGCTCAGTTTGTGGACCGAGCCTCACACTGACGTCAGTCTTTTTAAGCTTTTTAAGCTGAGCTTCACTAGAAGTAAATAAAGGAGGAAAGCAGCAAAAAATTGTTCAATTATCTCCAAGGATTTTGGGCACTGTTAAACTAACAGCAGCTTGTTTCCCTCTCTCATTAATATGTGTGTTTACAACCTGAATACAAACAGCTTTGTGAACATGGAAAAGGCAAATGAAGAAATGTAATGGCAGACTCATATTTCGTGTTTTAGCTCACCTCATGTCACGTATAGACCTGCAACACAGCCACCGGAGGTTTTGAGGAGCAAAGAAAAGCAGAAGGATTTCCACTTTTATAGCTCGACAAGCAAAATGTCATGAAACCATTTCAGAGATGGCGATGGAGCGAGCCCAAAATCAGTATCTCCAGCTATCTTAAACTCCTCAGACAGCTAAGCACAAAAAAACTCACATCCTTTAATATCCGGTCCAACAACATGGGATTACCATGACAAACCTGTATGATGCAGAATTAGATTCTCAACTAAAACTCAAAATTTCATCCTGCAGAAAAGTAGTCATGGAATCTTTACCCAGATAAACTATCCCCTCCTCTTCAGGAACGGCCCATCACACAATAAGAACCTGGATGATAGTCAGAATGCTTAGTAATCTGGATATTTCGTAGAGGAGAAGTACTAAAAGGACTCCAAACCAAAAATGATGGAACCTTATGGACTTTTGTCGACAGCCAGTCCCATAGTCAGCCTCTGTGATGCTACGGGGTTAAAGCCTTTAACAACCCTCTGTCATTCACAAAAGTTCACTGACTTTTCCCTTCAGTATCCCACTTTTTTTCTGTTCATTTTTCAACCTGACAATAGAAACACTCAGTCCTCACCCACCTTCTAAAGGCACTGACCTAGCTGGAGGTTTGAGCTGTCCCCAACAGATAATACAGAGAATTTCTTAAAGGAGAAAATGAGTAATAAGAGTGACCCCATGTTTAGATGTGTTTGCATGAAGAAGAGAACAAAGCGACACCTGAAACGCCTCAGTACTCGGTAGGCTTGTCATCAGAACACCCCAAAGTGTTGGAGAAGGATTGTAAACACTACAGTGATAAAAGATCTGTGTGCCATTACTTATGGAATATGTTGCAAGTCTAATAAACAAAAAAAAAGTAAAAATCCCAAATAAAAAATATGAAGTTGAGAGAAAACATGAAACATTTAAGTGTTTTTTTTCTGAACATATAAACCTCTGCTATGCAGTTTTTCTAATGTGGGTCCATGACACCAACTTAAAAGGGCTGTGTTTGCTAAAACTTAGATTTCGGTCTCACAGTGACAGAAGTGAGGAAAAATGTGACCAGAATTCCCCAGTGTGATGAAAGAAAAGCAGCAGAGTGAATCACCGTGCTGAGATGGAGTCAGCCTGAGAGCCCTGATCAGAGGAGGGGGGGGGGTGAGCGTTAGCTGCTGTTGGTGATGATGATGGAGGTGCCTTTGTGGGCGGGGCTCTGCTCCACTGGGACCCTGTAGTGGTCGTAGTGGGCGGGGCCAGTGCTGGCAGAGCTGCAGTAGCTCCGCAGGCTCTCCGGGTCATACAGGTGCTCCAGGGTGTAACCCGTCAGGGAATAGGTGGCGTGTTTGTCCAGGTAGGGCCGCGGGTGGCCGTGGGGGGGGTAGAGGGCTGGGGCCGGCGTCGGGGACGCCGAGCACGCGCCCGGCCGCCCGAAAGCGTGGTGAAACTGTAAGGGCAGCGGGGACAGGTCAGCGTGGGCGGAGTCTTTAGGCCTGTGCGGACTGCTCAGCCTGCACAGGGGGGCGGGGCTGGCCGCGGGACTGACCACCTGACCGAACCCCCGGCACACCATGGTCTGCAGCGGCAGGGGGCCCGGGGCGTAGTCCGCTGAGAAGCAGGGGGCCGGACCCTTGGGCAGCCCGCTGGCTGACCCCTGCAGCCGGCTCTGCTCCTCCTTGATCATCTGCTGCGTGGCTCTGATCAGAGTCTCGATCTTACTGGGCTCCTCGGCCCGGTAGCGGTCCCCCGAGTCGCTGGCTGACCCTCCGTCTGGAGAGCTGACCACGCTGTCTCCGTCCCCGAGGCCTGGCCCTGCAGAGCAAAGAGGAAAATCAGCTCAGACAAGAAAAACACTCAGCTAAACGAGGCTGAGCTCAGCTCGGTATTTGATAGTGGACTAAGAGTCTTCTCTGGGCGGTTCCTTATGGGAACAGAGCCACTGATGTGATTGGCTCCTGGCTACGCTGCCTGCGGGGGGGAAATATTCCTCACCGTGGAAGCTGTGGATGGCTGTGAGCCCGGGCGTGCTGCTCTCCAGAGAGCTCTTACTCAGGGGGCCGAAGGCCCGCGCAGGGTCCCACCACAAGTCTCTGCTGGGGGGGGGGCGCCCCCAGAAAGTACCTCCCCGCCTCGCAGCGTGCCCGCTGGCAGCTCTGCCGCTCGCCGTGCGTGTGGGGGGGCTGGTCCTGGGCCAGGCCGTGGCAGAGGGGGCGGTAGCCGAACAGCCCCTCCCCCGCCTCGCTCTGATCCAGCTGGGGGGAGGCAGAGTCCGTGAGGGGGCTGCTGCCCCACGGACTGTCCTGGTCAGACTCCGAGCGCTCTGCGGGGAAGCTGGGATACTGCCAGGGGGGGGGGGGGGGGGGGAGGGTGGAGCGAGGGATGGGGGTAAAGGAAAGAGAAGAGAAAGCTGAACACCTCCGGAAGGAAAATTTGAGCCTTTTTTATTT